TGCACTGGCCACTCAGAGATGATACTGATGTTTAGATTTCCTGGAGCAGAGGCTGCTAACAAATATTAAGCTCAGTCTGTTTGTTGAAGCCTTTAAAGTCTGTAAAATGTGTGACTTATATAAGAGTATTGCCATTTGTCTCTCAGGGATGTTTTAACAAAATGTTGGTCATTTATTTTCCAGAACAGCAAATTGTTCATCTGTCACTTTGGTAATCTAGTACAGTGCCTCGCATTCATTTATTCCAATTTTGTGATAAATTCTAAGAATCACTACTGAAACCTTACTTTCCAAACATTTTGGGGCTTCCAGGGAACCATTATTAACTTTATTTATGCATATAATTATGTTATTCTTTGACTTTATATTTTCAGACGTTGAATTTATGCCCTGAAAATCTTAGAAATATGGTATCTAAGCAGATTCTTACTCTGGATGGCATTACCTTGGCCTCCAGTAACGCTGTGAGGAACCTTGGAGTCATTTTTGACCAGGACATGTCCTTCAAGCACATATTAAACAAATATGTAAGACTGCTTTCTTCCATTTGTGCAACATCTCTAAAATTAGAAATATCCTGTCTCAGAGTGACGCTGAAAAACTAGTTCATGCATTTATTACTTCCAGGCTGGACGACTGTAATTCATTATTATCAGAATCCTAGAAAGAGAGCAGATTTCTCCTGTTTTGGCTTCCTGTTAAATCCGAAAGAATTCAAAATCCTGCTCCTCACATACAAGGTCTTAAATAATCAGGCCCCATCTTATCTTAATGACCTTGTAGTACCATATCACCCTATTAGAGCACTTCGCTCTCGCTCTGCAGGCCTACTTGTTGTTCCTAGAGTATTTAAAAGTAGAATGGGAGGCAGAGCCTTCAGTTTTCAGGCCCCTCTTCTGTGGAACCAGCTTCCAGTTTGGATTCAGGAGACAGACACTATCTCTACTTTTAAGATTAGGCTTAAACTTTCCTTTTTGCTAAAGCATATAGTTAGGGCTGGACCAGGTGACCCTGAATCCTCCCTTAGTTATGCTGCAATAGAGTAGGCTGCCGGGGATTCCCATGATGCACTTTCGTCCCTTCTCTCACTCACTATGTGTTAACAGACCTCTCTGCATTGAATCATATCTGTTATTAATCTCTGTCTCTCTTCCACAGCATGTCTTTATCCTGTCTTCCTTCTCTCACCCCAACCATCCAGCAGATGGCCGCCCCTCCCTGAGCCTGGTTCTGCTGGAGGTTTCTTCCTGTTAAAAGGGAGTTTTTCCTTCCCACTGTCGCCAAAGTGCTTGCTCATAGGGGTCATATTGATTGTTGGGTTTTTCTCTGTATGTATTCATTGTAGGGTCTACCTTACAATTTAAAGCGCCTTGAGGTGACTATTGGCGCTCTGTAAATAAAGCTGAATTGAATTAACTTGAATTGAACTAATCACTACCAAATTTATACCTCTTTTGATCATTGACAAGTAATAGTCTCTTTTCGTACCAGGAAAGGCTAGCTAATGCAGCTGTTATGCAATTCCTAATCCTGGGACCAGGAGGAAGCAGTATAGTGAGCAGCTGGGAATGCCGCTGGCCCAACACTGGGCAACAATGGCAAAGTTACAACATACAGTGAGTAATAATAAAATAAACATGCAAGCCAGCCCATATGGCAAAGATATATATTAATCTTATAAAGTTTGTATCTGTCTTGTGTGAGACTTGTATGAAAAGCATACAAGAGGTAAAACAGACATAAGATCCCTTGAAAAATCATATAAATGAAACTTGCATGTTTTGGATACTTCCTAAAACAATATATGAAAGTAATGAGAAAGTGGCCACTTTCATGAGTAAATCATATAAGCCTTATATGATTCACTATATGAAGTAGGCCACATCTGATGCAAGTCTTTTATAAGATTTTTCTATTTCTTTTCCATGTGGGTACGGTGTGAGGGCATGTGTATCTTGGGATATTCTTGTAGCCCATTGTGCTATGTTGACACCCAACCTTTTCCAGCACTTTTGTGTCTGACCCACGGCCAATGTGGGTGCTACAGTAAGTACAGGCAGTAGTTAACCGGCAACAACTGGAGGCCCTGCAGGCTCAGTCCAAGTGCCACATGCACACAGATATTGGAAAACTTACTGTGCTGGTTTGATCCCACAGCTGGTCTGGTGTTTCATCCTTGCTTCCCATTGCTCCGATGATCACACTGCATAAAATGAAATGGATGATCCCTAGTCATTTGTGGACATGTTTGAAGCCACGGCAGAAGCCTGTAAGTGGGCGACGCGGGACTGTGCCATGCACCTGTTGTGAAGAGAACACCAGACGGTGGCGTTCAGCCTACTGGCGGTGATTAAAGGGAGCTTTAAAGATGTCCAGCCCTTTGCCAACACAGCAACCAGGTAGCTGTAGCCAGGGACAGCCACGTGGGATGTTGGATTTACTTAAGTAAACTAGGTGGAAGGCAAAACTTTACTCACTGGGAAGGTTGTCACGGAAGAATCAACATGCTAACATCAGCAGTACAACAAGGGCCGGCTGGTTACTACCACAGGTTCATCCCAAACTTCACAGAGCTGACCAGCTCCCTGACTGACCTCAAATGACAACATGATGTGTGGTCAGAGCTGAAGCTTGAAATTCTGCGTGACAGGCTTAAATTTAAGAGGAGCAAAAGTGGTTACAAAACTTTGTCATGTATAAATGTTGTACCCTAGGGCTGCACAATTAAGAGTATTTTAATCTTTGAACATGAATTTATTTTTTCACAATTAAAAGAGAATCATCAAGCAATATTTAAAATACTTGCTCCGCCCATTAAAACAAAAAGCAAAAGGAAATCACCGCCTGCATTTGCCACCAATCACAGCTTTCCCTGCACTGCACAGCTTGAGGCTTCCTGGACAGCTAAAACTACACTGAGAGACAGATACACAACAAAATTCAAATTTCTGGCACAGCAGAAGGTGAAGAGCTTGACCTTCGGAGCACATCATCCTTCCCCCTACTTTGGACTTCGGGGAATCAGATATAAAAGTAAGCCTCTGTGGTCCACCGTATCCATCCAGCTTACAAAGATGATCTGAAGTCATCAGCACAGTTGCTTTCCATGTGGCCAAATGTGTTAAATAAACACAGTAAGTAATAAATGTTTTGGAAAAATGGTGAACATTTTTACCCTTCCACAATTGTTTCCTCAAGTGACAATACCTACACTTTATGCAAAAACAACACTGATGAAGTTGTATTCACATATATCTTACAAGTACAATAAATGATGTGAAATATGTTTTACCCCTAAGCTTAAAGGCTGATTGCCGTCAGCCCACTGGGCAGGCCGGTGAGCAGCCTGGACCTGGTTTGTGAGTCCAATAGTCTAATCAGTGCATCTAGTAAGAATCTCAGGTGAGTTTCAATCCTGGTGACCTTGATCTTATTGTCAAAAAGTCAGATTTTCTGACTATGTTGTGAATGCAATTATTGGAAAACAACGTGATGTAGGATTTTCAAAATAATACTGTAGGTGCATCTAATAAAAATCTCAGTGACCTCAACCTCAAGGTCAGAGGTCAAGTTTTCTGAAAATCTTGTGAATGCAGTAACTCAAGTTGGAAGCTCGCCAACCTCTGACCTTGTAAATACGATAACTTGAGAAAGTGCAGTTACATTGTAACCTTGGTTCTCTGATTGAGACACTATCTCTCCACCCTTTTAGTCAGGGCATGTCGGTACTTCTTTAACTCACTCCAGCTTGCCCGGCCACGCCCCACAGGAAGTCACTGATCACTTGATAGCAATGTGTCTTCGAGAGACCTTAAAGGTGAAGAGATCTCAGTGTCTCACTCTGAGAACCAAGCTTACAATGTAACCGTTTTGAGGGAAAGCCATTTCAAATCATCATCCTTAAGAGGCTCAACGGGAGGATGCTGAAGGGCTCAGTCCAAGTCTGGTGCTGTCTGTCCTGACAATGATGTAATAGCCTTTCAGTCTTCACAGATACTGTTGGAGCACAAGGTGGACAGCCCTCAGCTCCAACAAATTTATGTGCTGAGTTGCACAGTGGCCACGTCAACAGCCGTTGACCCTCCAGCCCTCATGGCCCCAACTGATGGAGGATAGGTCTGTGAGGACCAGCTGACGGTTAATCGCTGGTCCCACTGCATGACCCTGCTTTAACCCTCTGGGGTCAATGGATGCACCAGGTCTTTCAAATCACATCACCAGTTTAAGATCACATAGCAACAAGAATCAACCACAAGAAGTCTCCATTTCAACCTGCGTTAAAAGTGAGGACTTCAAACAACTGACCAGGTTTTAGAATGTGTTGATAGGCCACGTTAAACTAGAGTTATGATCATTTCAAAGAAATGCCATTTTTTTCCTGAATGCTATCGTCATGTTTACCGTAGGAGGAAATGGTAAAAACTTTTCTAAGGACAGCGCTTGATAAATAAAAATAAAAAAACGAGAGAAAACACACTTTCTAATTGGTGGAAAAATGTACCATGTCGACCAATCAAAAAATGATATAGCAACATATGGCTTTTGGTTGTATAGGAAGACGGGGTAATCATTACTGTAATGATACTAACCAAAGTCTGATGAAGCGCATGTGTGCTTGAAATGCACCTGCTCTGTGCTGCACTCTGTTAAGCATGTCTTTGTATTTCTGTTATTTTTTAAAGAAACTACCCCTATTAATTTCTCCCCACATTCTCCACATTTCATGCCACAAACCTTTTTCCTAAAAGACTGCTATTGAAAAAACAATAATCTGCAAGGAGAGACTTCCAGTTTCAGGTCACAATTTTAGTTTTACTACTAACAAGCTTGACAGTTTTTCTGTGGTTACAGAAAGCCAGATGAGTTTGTATGTGATCTGGAACTGAGCCACTTTTCTCGGGCATGTGTGCTTGAGAATGCTGGTGTATGTTGACAGGACACGCCCACTTTGTGTGTATTAAGAGGGGAGAAAAGCAGAAGCTGAAACATTGCTGCTACACTATCAGTCAGTCAGCAGGCAGGAACAGGCCGGCAGTGTGTTTCTGCTCTCAACGATTCACCCTTTTCACCTCTTCAGTCAGATTCTCTGCAACAGCTTGACATGATGCTTGAGCATGAGGAGTTCACCAAAGCAGGCAAGAAAGCTGGCTTGCAGATTTGGAGGATTGAGAATATGGAGTTGGTCCCTGTGCCCGACAACTTACATGGGAGCTTCTACACAGGGGATGCTTATGTGATTCTCTACACTGTCAAAAAGAAAGAGAGCTCTTTTTACCATCTGCACTACTGGCTGGGTAAGTGACTAAAGCTCTGGACCCAATTCATTGTGTCAGTTTATTGTTCCACTCAGAATAAGGGAAATGAGTTATAATTGGATGTAATAACCTATCATTGGAAGAAGTCCTATTTCAGAGGGGTCCTCCAGGGTAACAGATAAATCTCAAATTAAATTCCAAGGAACCACTCAAGAGCTTCCTTAGAAGTTCTAAGGAAAGAAAAAAAAGTCCACAAATGTACAAAGTTACCAACGCCAGGATGTGACACTATCTTTATAACACCTGTGAAGTTGATTCTGCTCTATTCCCTGAGAAATCACAAAATCATACAAAATCATACAATATTGTTTTATATACAGGTCAGACATACGTTTTAACATCGTTTTTGCTCTGACCAGCTGATTTTATTTAGATTTTTTTTCACAACATAAACAATCATTTTTGTTACTTTTCATTTTTCATCTTTAATTTTAATAACTTTTATGTTTTCTTATCATGTGCAACAGGTTAAAGAACCCTTCTTAATTTCTATTCAAACAAATGTCTTATGTAGTTGGTGATCTAACTGCGTTGCTGTATTAGGAAGCTGTGTAGATAGCAAAAGCATTTACAGAGAAATAATTTTCCTCACAACTTTCTGAATGATCCACATTCAGCTATAACACAAACTTCACTCTACACTGTTCCAGAAAATAGTAATGTCAAAGTAGCTTACTGTATATTTTACAGTTTTGTACTGTCTTTCTAGAATATCATTAAATTTACATACAAGTAGACTGATTTTACATGTCAAAGGTAAAATAACATAACATCACTGTAAATATTTACATGTTTTTTAAATATATTTTTTTGTACATATGAATATTTAGATTGTAAAAATACATTCAGAAATATATCATAATTTCACAAATATTTGTCTGTTATGTGAGAGAATGATCTGTTAAATTCAAATGTAATACTATGGAAAAATATATAAAATGATCGAAAATTAATGAGAATTAATGATAATTTTGCAGAAAATTTCATGTCATCTAGGTCTGATTCAATAATTCAGAGGTAACAAGTGAAAATATAATTAATAGGAATAAAAACTAAAAGAATAAAACATATAAAACATTGCACGGCCACACTGTGCTAATTATATATTTTAAAAAGTAAATGTAGAGGTAGGAATTGCAATTAATAGGAATCTCAAAGTATTCACAACATTCCTGAACAGAAATAGGCCTCTGCACCTGGGGTGAGGGTGTGGCCATGAAAACAATGTGACATGCCATTGGATGTTGGGACACATAATAACATGACACAAAGCATCGGCCAATGAATGTGAACTAACAACCACAATGTCGCGGGTATGGCAGCACTGTAGGAACAAATCCTAATATAAAAGTATTTTACTGCATTTTACAGTTTTGTTCTGTTCTTCTAGAACATCATTAAAGTTACATAAATAGACTGATTTCACATTTCAAATGTAAATTAACGTTAAATCACTGTAATGTAATAAAACATAATTTTCATGATTATTAAATGTATCTGTCTGTACATATGCATATTTAGATACAGATTCACAAATGTATCATGATTTCACAAATATCTGTCCGTTATTTGAAAGAT